TCATGGTTTAATTTATATGAAACATAGACCATATCCAGATCATCGTACATTAATGGAACAATATAAAAAAATTGTTTATAAAATTGATGGATTAGATTTTACTTTACAAGAAGTTCTTTGTGGAATGTTAAGAGCACCATTTGGAAAAGATGATTCATTAGGACCAAATATTTCATACCCTTCAACAAGTCCTAAAGGAAAATTTGTTTGTAAAGAAAAAGATAATTTCCTTTGTTTCTTAATAAGTTTTGGAATGACATCATCACCTCCTATTTGGTTATATGAAACAAGTGAATTTATTGATCAAAAAAGAAAAGCAATTAATCAATTTATTGGAACTCAGTGTGCTGCTTTAGGTAATTCAAAAACAATATTTGTTCCACAAACCATGAAAATGTTTGTTAAAGATTTCAAAAATGAAAAGAACTTTTTTAAGGAATTATTAAAGATTTATAATATCACTGAAAATGGTTGGAATTTAAAATGGCAAAATGTTGAACGTGAATGTGGTATTTGGTTAGATCATTTAAATAGTGAAGGTATTACAGTTACTCACAGAGACGTACCATATCTTGCACAATATTCCATGTTTCATCTTGCTTCTCCAAAGATTTTGGTACCTGCTAATTAATTGTTAAACAAAACACAAATTTAATCTTTTTTTTTGAAAAAAAGATAAATAAATAACTAATTTTCAATTCAGTATAGATGTTGAAGAAAAAACTCACAGAAGAGTTGAATAAAATAAGGAAAATGAAATTAAAGCAAAGTACCATACAATTTACTACTCAAAGAAACAAAGAAGAAAACCAAACAACCATAACAGTAGATAGTCATGAAGAAAATCAAACAAAGTCAGTAAATAAAATACAAAAACCACAAATATATTTTAGTTCTGTTAATGACGACAAAACCATTTTACAATGTGAAGCTGGAAAAAATATAAATATTTATGTAAGAGATTATGTAGGAGAAACAAACCAAAAAATTATGTCATTAAAAAGAGGTTTTTATAAAATATCATATGGAACTGAACAAGATGTGTTAGTATTTGAACCAAAATTTAGACATGGACCAGCAATAGATATTCAATTAAAACCAATTAAACGAATTGGAAGTCAAATAAATCTTCTTATAACATTTAATAATTATTGTTCAGAGAAAAATGATACTATTGTTATTTTTAATCAACAAAAAGCAGTAATTACAACACATAGAATCCCCCAAGAACATGTTAAACAATTTGTTATGAACATTAATTTATGTAACTTTAATTATGAATATGAATTAAGACTTATTCAAGGAGTCGAAGAAGGATGGCTTAGAGGATTCATTGATTATGAGTCATTAGTTTATTCTTGCTCACAAATCTTTTTTATTGATGAAAAAAATTTTAAAGAAATGGATTTTGAAAAATTTAATTAAATGCTTCTTTCAAATTATTGAGTTTAATAGAATTAATAAAATTATAGTCTTGAAGAATAGAAAGTTTATAAGTATTATGTATTTTTGTATACATCATTTTCCTATTATTTGTTAATATTTATAACTTTTTTAAATAAATATAATGAAATTTATCAAACGTTAAATAATAATCTAATAAAAGTATTGGATTGTTATTAAATATTACTTTTACTTTATTTAAATAATTTTCTTTAAGAGATGAATTTATTTGAATATTTTTTAAATCTAAAGGAGAAGAAGAAATAATTAAATTGTAATGATAATAAGGAATATGATAACTTTCTTGATTTAATGAGACTTTATAATTAATTAAGTCTGTAATAAGTCTATTTCTAAAAGAACCTTTTGTAGCTATACAACAACCATCTTTAGAAATAATATTTGGTTTTTTATATTGGTTAATATGAGTGTATTTAAAACATTGATTCTTTGAATCTTGTTTATGGTAAAATTGACTAATATTTTTATTAATAAAATTTATTAATTGGTTTTGATATTGATAAGGACATAATACTCCAATACAACAATTGTTTGAATAATAGTATTTATTATACATCCTTTGTAATTCTAAAATTTGTATTTGTTTTTGAGAATATTCACTACCAATAATCTCATGCCCAAATGGTGTATTATTTCCAAATAATAGTTCATGTTTTTTTTGAAATAGTTGTTGAGTTTTATCCATTTTGACATATTGTCTTTCAGAATTTATTATAGTGTTTTCTTTTATTATTTGTTTGTTATTAAATGATGGTTGAAATAATAATGACATTATTGTAGTTATATCTCTTTTCCAGTATAATGGATTTGTGATACATTGAAATTTAGTAATTTCTCTAGAAGTTATAGCAGAAATATTTAATAATTGTTTATTATTCATTTTTCTTAATTCTTCACTATTAAATTGGTTATTTCCACGAAGAATAATATGTTCAAGAAAATGAGCTGCACCATAAATATTATCATGAACACTACCAACTCCAAAAACAGTTGACACAACAATACTATTATTATTACTTGGTGTATTAATCAAAAGTCCATTAAATCCTTTATTAAATTGAACATATTGAAGAGAATGTAAAGGAATCATAATAATTGAATAAATAAACTTAACTATTAAGTTTTATTAGAATAAAAATTATTTTTAATAAATATACTGTTAATTATAGAAAATTAAACCAATAAAAATCTACTTATGAAAATAAAGAAACAAACTCAAATCCATTGCAATTATTTAGTTTGTTTTCCCTTGTATTGCTTAGCTGGGTTCTTCTTAGCACAAACTTTACCGAAGTGTTTGAGTGCTTCTCTAACATTTCTCTTTCCTCTAATGAGGACAGTCTTTCTTCCAGTTGGTGCTTTAAGTGCAAGTTCATCAAATCTTAAACACTTTCCACCAGCTTTAGTGATGGCTGCTTCTGCTGTTTTAGTGAATTTAAGAGCACAAACATTCATTTTTGGAACTGGATATCTACTGTCATAAGTGACTGTATTGACACAGACTGCAGTTTCTTCTGGGTGTTTCTTCATAAGGCATGCTAATTTGCTAGTAGAAACGATTGGTCTATTAACACGGCTTAAGCAAAGTCTGTGTAAGATTGTTTTAGCAAATTTAGATTGTGTTCTTCTGGCAAGGAAACCATAAAGGCGAACAAGAAGTTTCATATAAGCGTTGTTTCCACGAGCGGTCTTTGAAACATGTTTACGAACATGATGTCTGTCTAAATCGATGGCCATCGCTTTGTTCTGCACATTTCATAGATCTTCAGGGTTTTTTCATAGTTGACTAGTATTTTTATAGTTAGATAATTAATAAAATATAATTTTATAATTCAGTAATTTTGAGATAAAGAAAGGTTCAATCAAATAATTTTAGTATAACTCTTTAATAGTATTAATTTTATTAAAAGAAGATAAAAAGTAAAAACAATATGATTTAATATCTGACAAGATTTGACAACTCTACTTGAATCCTTTCTGCCCACTTATCAAATCTGATTTTTTCTTCATTTAATATCGTTAAAAGATCTCCTGGATTTATGTCAACAGTTTCATATCTAATATTGGCCATTTTTAATGCTGTAACTATTCCATTAATCATTAATTTTTTTTCACTTATGGTAAGTTCTATTTCTTTTTCTTTTGCTAGGTCATCTTCTTTTTTTTGAACCTTATTTTCTGTGTTACAAGAAGAAATATCATTAGAACTCCATGAAGAAATAGACTTTTTTTGATTCTTTTTAATGAAACTTTCTAATATTTGAAGTTTTGTTTTTTTTTCTGATAAGATTTCTTGAAGCTTTAATCCTGATTGGTTTTTTAGTGAACTAGATTTAGTTTGGTTTGGCTCACAGTAAGTATTTAATGAAGTTGAAATTTCATTGATTTGTCTTTCTAGTGAACTTTTTAAGGAATAAAATAAAAAGTCTTGAATAGCATCATACCTAATAATATTTTCATCATCCAATAACTTTTCACTTGAGAAAGAGTGGTTAGTATCCATCGCAGAGTTAATTAAAAAAGTAACTGATTCATTAGATGAAAGATTAGAAGAAGAAGAGTGGATTGTTTTGTTTTTTAAATCATTATTTTCTCGTTTTAAAAGTTCTATTTGAAGCCTAAGATTTTCTAGATTCTCATTTGAACGAAGTGTTGTTAATTCTTGAAGTAAAGTATCTCGTTCTTTTGTTAGTTGTTCATTTAAAGTTTCTAATCTACAAATTCTATTTATTAATGAATCAGTATCCATTGTTAAAGAATTAAAATTTAAGATTCAGAGTTAAAGATTATTATATCAATTTAATTTATAGTTCTTTTTTTTTATATTTTTTAAATTAGTTTAGACCTTTTTTTTAAATAAATATTCTTACATTTCCTTTTCAAAAAAAGTATGGTATAAAATAAAAAATAATAGGGTCTTTCTTATGAAGTGTTTAAGTTATTGTTATTTGATACAATGAAACATTTTTTTTCTTTAAAACAAAATCATTTTTAAATTGTTCTAGTAATTATCAACTAAATTAAATTTTTTTAAGAATTATTTGTTATAAATAAAATTTTATTTCTTATTTATTTTTATTTAAACTATTTTTATCTTTTTTTACTTAAATAAGTAAAAAATGTTATTAATCGACAAAAAATTTAATTATTAGGTAAATTTTTTAATGATTGGAATAATGACGACAACAACTATAACTGCAATAATGATAGCAGCAATAACACCTATAATAATCCATAATTTCCATTTTCTCCAACACATTGCCTTTTTCATTTGATGAGATTGTTTTTTGAAAGTATTTGCTTTTTCCACCATTGCATCAGTTTTTTCTTCCAAGTCTTCTGCTTGTTCAAGATTGCGTGTCATTTTATCAATATTCTATCACATTTAATTTAACTCTTTATTCTTTTATTCCTTTAAAAAAAGAAACAAACATCAGCCATAATGTCTTGAGTTTCTTTGACATCTCTGTAAATATCTCGAATCTTTTCATTCTCAGGTTCTTGTTCAATTAATGCTTTCTTTTGTTCTTTCTTTTGCTTAACAACTTCAGATGCTCTTGGTTTTTTAGCATTTGAAAACTTTGGTTTTCCACTAGCAATGAGTCAAGTGTAAGAGAAGAATAAATTAATTTTAGAAAATAAATACTAAGTAACTAAACGAACCTCATCTTCCTTAATTTGTTTGTAGTTCATTTTTTTTTAATTCTTCCAACTTCACCAAACAAATACATTTCCATCAGTTCCTTCTTTTTTTTTTTCTTGTTTTTTATTTTTCTGTAATACATAACAAAAATATTTTTTTAATTATGAAGATATAACATTTTATAAATATCACTTTTAGAACAAAAAAATAATTTATGTTATTGTGAAAAATACATTAATCTTCATCTGTAAATGTACTCGAACCCTATGCAGCATCCTCAACGTTTTAACAAATATGAACAATCAAGCCCATATTATGAGAAATATTACAAGGCCCAGGGAATCATTAATCCAGAAGAAGAAGAACAATTTATGAAAGTAATGAAAACTCCTCTTCCTACTTCTTTTCGTTTAACCAAATCAAGTGAAACATTCCCTAAGGTGAATGAAGTTATTAATAAAATTATTTCTGAAATACCAGATGAGTATAGACCACATACTTTTGGGTGGTGTCCAAATACTTATCAATTAGAAGTCGAAAGAAAACAAATTAGAAAATGTGAACAGTACAATGCCCTTCATAAATTTATGATTCTTATGAATGAGTCAGGAGAAATTAGTAGGCAAGAAGTTGTTAGTATGTTACCTGCTATATTACTTGATGTTCATGAAGGAAGTTCAGTACTTGATATATGTGCTGCTCCAGGTTCTAAAACTTCACAGTTAGTTGAAATGGTTGGTCCAACAGGATGTGTTGTTGCCAATGATGCAGATAAACAAAGAAGTTATTTATTAACTCATCAAACTAAAAGGCTATCAGCACCACATATTGTTATTACTAATTATCGCGCTCAAGAATTATCATTTAATGGATTTCAATTTGATAGAATGCTGTGTGATGTTCCTTGTACTGGAGATGGTACTATCAGAAAGAATGTAGATGCAAGAACAAAATGGCATGTTATGAATGCATACACTCTCCATAGAGAACAATTAGATATTATGAAACACGTTCTTTGTCATGTAAAAGTTGGAGGAAAATTTGTATATTCAACATGTAGTCTTAATCCAATAGAGGATGAGGCAGTAGTAGCAGAACTTTTGAGAACATATGGTGATTCTATTGAACTCATTGATGCCCGTCCACTCCTTCCAACACTTAAATTTAGTGAAGGAGTATCAGAGTGGAAGGTGTTTGATAAACATTTTACTGTAATGAAAGATAAAAATGATAACATTCCTATTACTGCCTTCCCTCCAAAGCCAGAAGAAGCAGCTAAATTCCATTTGGAATATACTTTACGTATTCTTCCTCATCAACAAAACACTGGAGGATTCTTTACTGCTGTTTTTATTAAAAAAGGAGAGACCCTAGCACCTCCTCCTAAACAAAAAAAAGAAAAAAAATATATCGGAGAAAATGGTGAAGAAGTTATTGAAAAACATCCAACAAAAAGAAGAAGAGGAATGGCTCCATTAGATGAACAAGAGTTAAAACCTCTTCTTTCTACACCAGAAGGAGAAAAGTTATTTGAATCTATTAAGAAGTTTTATACCCTCTCTGATTCTTTCCCTAAAGATCAGTTATATGTTGTTGGAGAAGATTGTCTTACAATCCATTACTTATCTAAAACAAGTACTCTTTTAGCTCATGACATTAAAGTTATTAGTGGAGGTGTTAAAATGTTTAAAAGACATAAAAGTGAATTAGTTGGAGCATATAGAATAGTTAGTGAAGGTGTTGTTACATTAGGAGAATATATTGGACAAGACCGTTGTATCGAAGTTGGACATGAAATGTTTATGAAACTTCTTGGGGAAGATGTACTTTTAAGTGAATTTAAAAAAGAGTTTAAAGGAAATGGATGTTATTTAGTGAAAGTAGTTGATGGTATTTTGAAAGGTAATTGTTATTGTGGATGGGTTGGTCGAGTTTATCTTTCTATGTTAATTAACAAACAAGACTTAGATGCATTAAGATTTTTATTTAACATAAGTGCACCTGAGAAGAAATTACATCGAGAGATAGATGATTGTTTAGATGATGATCAAAAATTAAAAAAAGAAGAAAATAAAGAAAATTGATTGATTTTTAATTTCTTTTTTTTGAATCAAAGCAAAGGAATGCTTCTATTAATTTTTTTCTTTGTTTAATCGAATAAGATGTAATATTATTAATTTGTATATGTTTGATCTTGAATTTATTAACTTTTCACTCTAATCTATATCACTAAATTTAGACATAAATCCAGACTTATTGAAACGAACTAAAGGAAATAATATAACTGAAAGATTTGCATCTGACAATTACTATTATTATGTTAATCATTCTCTTATTTACATTATTTACTCTAATTATTGCTACTCCTATATCATGTGACTCTTATCAATCTCAAAGTGGTTCTGATTCTAACTCACAAACAGATATTGAATTAATTATGAGCTTTGGATGCTATTTTATTGTAACTCAACAAACTACATTCAAATCTATTAGTGGAGAAGGAACAGTTGTTATCAGTGGAGCTGTAGAAGTTACTGTAAATGACTATAAAGGAGGAATTATTCAATTAAATAATGAAAATGCGAAAGTTAATATCGTTAAAACTACAGATTCACTCACAAGTGATAACTCTAAGAGTCAAAAGAAAATAGTTGGAAAAGGAACTACTGTTATTAAACCACAAAGTAAAGATGTTACCATTAAATTAGATATGGTAGGAAGTAGTTCTTTAGTTGTAGAATCTATACAACAATACTTTAAATTAGTTATTGGCACACTTTATTTAAACAATAATATTGATGTTGGAAAGTATTGTGAACTTTCTGTTTCACAATTAACATCTACTATTACTAATAAAGAATGTTCTATAAAGACAACAGGAAAAAAGATGGTTATAACAGAGATTGATGCTGATCTTTATAGATTAGTTGAACCAACACAAGTTATTATTTCAACAACACCAATAAATGAAACATATTCCAATATAGTTAAATGTAAGTTAGATGGAACATTTATAACAGAAAGTGATCTTGTTTGTCCATGCCAAAATCTTAATGGCTATGAATGTGAATTAGAATTTACAGGATCAACTACAAACCCAATAATATTTCCTGATGGAGATATTACTTTACATAAGTTGATTCTTCCTAGTGGAGCTACTATTTCAGGAAAAGGTAGTTTAAGTGTTATGAATCTAGAGATTAAAGGAGATATTACTATTAATGGATTTTCAAGAGTTGATATTAAATCTCAAACAGGAGAATTTAAGATAATAATTTCTACTAAAGGAAAAATAAAAGGAACAGAAACTAAGAATCTTGTATTTAGTCCAAGTTCATCTTCAGTAATAATAGAATATTATGGAACTAGTATTGAGACATTAATAATTGATAAAGATGGTACATTTATCAACAATGGAAATAATATTAAAACAGTTACATTAAATAATGGTGGTAAATATACAGTACCAGAAGGAATTACTGTTAATAGTTCCACTATTAAAGTATGTCCAACATGTGTTGTTAATATTAATGGAGAATATACAGAAAGTCTTAAAATTGAATCTACTGGTACAGGAGATAACACAAATAATGAATATAATGTTAAATTTGGAATATTTAAAGACTTTGTAGAAGAAGTAGTAAAAAGTGAAGGTTCAAATAAAATCACATTCCATCCAAGTGGAAAGAAAGTAATTTTTAAAGAAAAAGATTATACAAATACAAATGAATTAATTGATGGATGTGATTATACTAAGAAATTCTATAAAACAAATACTAAGAATAAATGTGCAACAATGAAAGTTGAAGGATTTGAACCAATTGAAATTTCACTAACAAATGATGGAACTGAAGCAGATAAGTTTATAATTGAAAATGGACTTAGTGTTAATACAAGTAAAGTTATATTTAAGACATGTGGTACAATCAAATCACTTAAATTTTTATTATATGATATCACACTTAGTAAACAAAGTTCACAAACAAATTGCGAACTTACAGTAACAGAAGGACTTAAATCAGAATCTAAAGAAATAGAAAATTATAATTCAGAACTTAAATTAACACTTGAGAATATTCAAGTTAAAGAAACTGATATTAGTGTACCAAAATTAGTTTTAAAGTCAACAACAATAATTGCCAACAAAGATATTAAAATTCCAACACTTTCTATGGATGGAAAATCTAAAATTAATCTTGAACAATATGGGTTAATTGTTGATGAAGTTTCATTTGAATTCTCTGGGATAACTGAAACCAATAAACCAGATGCAATGATTATTTCAACTAAAGACAAAGGATTTAGAGTTCAAAAATTAATGAGAGTTTCATCAATACCAAATCCAGAAGTCAAAAATATTTATATTACAAAACAAGATGATAAAATAACATATTCAGGAGATGTACCAAAACAATTTTATTTAGCATGTTATGGAAGAGCACTTATCTATAATATAGATACAAAATATAAATGTGATGAAGTATTTAAAATACCAAAGAAATGTACATTCAAAACAGAAAATTCAAATATTGATTTCAATTCAGAAAGTTCATATAATGAAGCATTATGTCCATGTCATTATTCAGATCCTAAAGGAGAACAAGATTTAATTGGAACATGTAGAATAATATTTGAAGAAAATAGAAAAAGAGAAGATAAAATAATTATTACATCAAACACTGATATTAATGTTAATGAAATTAGTATTAATAGTCCTAATGAAGTAATAATACAAACACCAGATAAAAAAATTATTTCAAAAGTATATGTATTAGGAAAAAGATTAATTCTTGAAGGATCAAACATTAAACTATCTGAAATAGAAGGAACAATGGAATCTAGTTCTACTTCAATACCAGAACTTGAATTAAAAGGAAAAAGTACAATTTCAAAGATTACAGGAAATATGAATATTATAATTAATAAAGAAGCAATAATTGAAAAAGAACATACAACAGGTAATTATTATACAGGACTTGATATTAAAGGAACATTAAATATTAGAACTGGTAATAAGTTTGAAACAACAAATATTAAAGTATATAAAACTAAGATAATAAAAAGTAAAGTGATTATAGATAATACATCTACACTTGATCTTAAGAATATTGAAATTGTAATGGATTTAGTTAATGAAGAATCTATATTTATAGGGGATGTAGCATCAAGAATAAGTGGTGTTAGTACTAGTAATATGGTAATAAAAGGAACATCATCAAATATTTGTCAAGCAATAGGAAGTTTTAGTAATTCAGATAATTCAAGAAATAATTTCATAAAAAGTGGAATGTCTGATCTTGGATGTTCATCAAAACTATGGATTGTTTGTTCAAAGAAAACATTATCTTACAAATGTCCAGGAAATACACAATGTACATTCAAAAGTTCAACAACAGAACTAAATGGTTCAGATAAAACTAGTTATATTGATCAAGAAAATTGTCCATGTTCTGAAGCAGGATCAGAAATATTTACCACAGGATGTGAAACAATTATTCCATCAAATGTATCAGGAATAATCAAAGGTATGAAAGGATCTATTGAAACACTAACTGTAGATACTGATCGAATAGAAATTGAAACATTAAATTCATTGAGTATTTCAACAATGAGAATAAGAGGGATTAATAAATTTAAAGGAAATAATAATATTAAAATAGATGTTATTGATATTTTCACATCACTTCCTACAAGAATAACATTTGATAATCCAGTAAGTATTTCAGCAACTAAAGTGAGTGGATCAAGTGTCTTTTTCTTCTTTAACAATGAAGTAAGTATTATACTTGGAACAACAAAAGAAAAATCAATTAAAGCAGGAGCATCAATTTCATTGAGTAGTACTCTTAGTAAAGATCAAAATATAGAATTAACAACAATGGAAGAAATGAAAGAAGCAGATTTATTCATAAGTAGTAATAAAGAAATTAAATTAGGAGGAAGTTTATATTCTAAAACACTAACAATTACAAATACTAAAGAAATAATAAATGAAGAAGCTATGTTTATAATACCTTCAGGAAAAGAATTTAATACAAAAAATTTAAAAGTAGTTTCTAGTTATATAAAGAATTATAAAATAGTTGAAACATCAGATATTAATTATGTTAATATTGAAGAATATTCAGATGGTGTTTATATTGATAATTATAAGAGCTATGTAACATATGGAACAAAAGGTAAAAGAAGTACAGATATTATATGTTCAATGAAAAAAGAAGGAATAAATTCAGGAATTATTCCATTTGATGATAAAGACAAAAGTACAAGTTGGGATAGAGCAGGATGTTCATGTGATGGAGATTCATGTCAAGTTAATATGATAAGTGATAGTGATTATCGTATGATAGGAATTAATTATGAATTTGTTAAGAATATTTTAATAAGAAATGGTGATAATTTAAAAACATATACTAGTATATTAGAAGGAGATAAAATTCAAGGAGAAAATATTGAAATTGATACAGGAAATATAGAATTTAAAGTAGGAGAAATTAAAATAAATAAATTAATTATTAAGAATGAATCTAATATTTCATTTATTGGAATAAATAATACTAGTACAATTGAAAATATTATTTTAATTAAACCAGGAACTACTTCTATTTTAATTAAAGATGGAATTAATCCATTAACACTAAAAATTAACAATGATAATAATACAATTAATTCTATCACATTACAAAATACTAATAAAGTAGTAATATCAAACACACAATCTACAATTAATTTAGGAAATGTTATTATTGAGAATAGTCAATTATATCTTGATAGTGGAATCTATGAACTCAATGAAAAAACAATTAATTTCCTTGTTAAATCAAATGATTTTATGTTAGTTATGGGACCAAGTACACAAATTAATAGTAACACTCTTGAAGTAAAAACATTGAATTTCAATATTAAAATTGAAAAAGAATTAGAAGGTCCAATATACTTATTAAGAACATCTTATCAAAACTTTATTAGTAGATTTGGAGTTAAATTTACAATCACATCCAATAATAATCATCTTAAAGGACAAGCATTGAATTCAATAGATTCAAAATATGAACTAACACAAGTCTGTCGTATTTATGTTGCATTAGTACCAAAAGGATACACAATAACTGAATGTCCAAAAGATCCATGTGGAACAAATGAAGCAGGTGTTTTTTCACAAGTAACCAATGGAGAAGTACCAAAATGGGCTATTGCAGTTATAGTAGTTGTTGGACTTATTATCATTATCGCTTTAATACTCTTGGTCGCTTTTATTCTTTATGCCAAGTTGGTCTTATTAAAGAACAGAAAGAATAATAAAGTTTTTGATGATACTGAGAATATATTCTGTGCCTCTGAAGTTAATGACTCTGATGACATTGAAAAGAAAGAAGAAGTTCAGGACGATAACGGAGAAAATTCAATATCAAGTGAAAGTGGGTCTGGAAGTGGTTCAGCTAATGACAGTGGATCTGGTTCTGTGAGTAGTTCTTATTCAGCTAGTGGAAGTGGTTCAGACAATGGAAGTGGTAGTGGTTCAGGTTCTGCAAGCGAGTAGTAAATAACAATTATTCTTTTTAAATTTCAATAATTTTTAATTGAAAAAAATTAATTAACTGAATAAAGTGAGAAATAATCCATATAAGGCTCTACACATATCTTAGTCATTGGATTAAAATTAAATTCAATAACACCATTAAAACAAATTTTTAGAAAACTGTAGTCTATGTATTCATTAGTAACTTGAAGATAAGAGTCTTGTTTATTTGGAACAGTTGTTAGCCCATATTCATATGGAACATTTATTATCCCATATTCATATGGAACTGGTGAAATAATCTTAAAGAGAGATTTAGTAGTATTGTTGAAGAATATACCAAACATATTTCCACAAGTCATTTGAACAATCATTAAAGTGAAACTATTTCTATAAAATTCCTTTAGTCTCACCAAATCTATTTGTCTACTTTCAGTACTAAAAGTAATATAATGAGTCAATCTATTTGATTTTAGGTATCTAAGAAGAGAATCAAATTGTAACTCAACATAACAAGGTATATAACAAGGTATCCTGTGTTGTTGTGTGTATTGTGTAATGTATTTTTGTTGTATTGTTTCTTGACAAGACTCAGCTGATCTTGTATCACAGGTATTATATAAAGAGAAACCATTGGTGTTGTAGTTATTTCTAAATGAATAATCACGTTTAACTGAAGAAATCTCTTGAAGTATTTGGCAACAAATTTTTCTATTCTTCTTTATTTCAGCATTTATACGATCAAAATCATTGTGGTATTGGTTATAGGTTTCTGTCAAACTTTTTTGTTTCTCAAGTTCATTGAGATAAATTTCATTTTTTTCAGCAATAGAATGTTCAATAGATTTTATTGATTCAAATAATGAAACTAAGTCTGATCTCAAATCAGTTGACATCGATTAATGGATTATGAGTTATGGAAATAAATGTCATTAAGCTTTTTTCTTTTAAAGTTGTTCTAAATATATTTAAGAATTATTGACAAACAAGAATGTCAATATTTAGTAACTTTTGTTATAGATAATTTAGTTTTACATCTCATAATAATGAAGCTTGTTAATGGGAAATTGTTATTTCCTTGAAAAAAATTAATTGAAACTATTTAATCAACAACAAATAATAAAATATAATTGATATACTCAAAGTAATTTTTTATTAGACTAACTCACTTAAGTTAATTTATAGTAAATAAATAAACCAATTTCAATTGAATATAAAATAAGAGAAGATAGTTTTAATACTCAATAACAACTTGAAAAACTAAGTATTTTATTAATTATGAGAAGAAGTCAACCATCAAAAAATTTAGTTCATCAAAGAGAAATTGAAATATATCAACATTGTTTGTTTAAATATGACTGTGAAGAAGAAATTGTTGAACAACAAGAAACTACTTCTATTCTAACGGATATTGACCAAACTGGTGTAGAAGACGCTATTGTTTTATTAAATGAAACAATGGAAATATTTGAATCTTTACATGAACAATTTTATAATGACTCATATTCACTAACAACACCACCTGTAGTATTATTGAGTCAATTATTATCATATCAAGTTCCATCATTAATTGATGAGTTAGTTTGTTATATTTTATTTTTCAAAACAATTGAAATAGAACAAATGTAAATAAGATAGAATGAACTTAAAAAAACTAAATTAAATGAATGTATAATAATGGATAATGGTGTAGATATAATTGGATATGTTGATAAAGAAGAATATATTGGATATTTATTAATGAATTATAAAGGAGATATTATTAAAAAACTAATAGAATATATCAAAAGTTCTTCTGGAAATGCAATTATATCTTCTTCTTTTTTTAAAGAAAAAGAAGTATTAACATTAATTAGACAAGGATTAATTACAGAACAAAGAAAAGAAAATGTTATTGAACATAAATTATTATATCCTAATCAATTTGTTTTTGCTGAAAATTTAAATAAATGGAGAAAAAAGATAATTACTACAATCACTTCATCACCATTTCATATTATTCAAAAAAAAGTTTGTATTATAATGTAATACATTTGATTATATTTATATTAATAAATAGAAATTAGAAGAACGTTATGATATGATGTGTTTTAGTTTAGAATATCTTTTAACTGATCTTATTGCTAATTCTGTAGTTCGACTGTTTGGGAGTTATTTTCTTCTTTTATTAAATAAAATAAAACCAAAAGAATTAATAGAAATAGAGTTATTAAAGATACTTTAGAATATATTGAACTAGTGAAATAATAAATAAACTTTATGTGTTAACTTTGTATTAAACTTTGGTTATTTTTTAAAAAAAGAATAGAACATTCTTTCTTTTTAAGAAAATAAAAATAAAACAACAAAAAGAGAAACTAAACAATTCCTCTTTTTGTTGAAAATTTTTTCGAGAATTAATTAAAACTAAAAATTTCAATGTATTCAAGATTTTTTCAACAACTTGATTCACTTGTTCAACATGAATTAGAAATTGATTATAGATCAATGGTATTTGTTTTTACTGTTGATCCCATAACTCATCAAGCTCAATTTTTATCTTCATCAAAATTTACTATTTTATTAAATAGAGAATTATTAAATAATTTAGTTATTATGGCAACAGCTCAAACTGATGAACCATCAAATCATAGAGATGCTATAGCATGTTATAAAAAAGGCACTTTCCCTCTTGAAACATATAACAACACTTTTACTGATAGAAAAATGGAAATGGAACAACCTCATTACGCTCAAGTTCATTACCAATCATCTACTCAACGTCCTTTACCTCCAACACCTACTCCTCAACAACTTCATCAAAGAATTCAAGAACAAATAGAAGAAAAAATGCAAATGAGTACTTATTCTCCTGAAAATACTTCTCCAAGAATTGCTGTATGTCATGAAGTGTCTCCAACTTTAGGTAATGTTGAAGAACTTTCTAAAGAAAGAATTCAATCTCTCCCAACTCCAATAAAAACAAATCAACGTCTTGGTGAGCCAAAAAGAAAAAGGAGTTCTACTCCAATAAGAATATGTTCATATCAGTCTGTTAAATCAACAATTGATGACTCAACTAAATTAAAAATTATTTCTGCAATATCTCCTGAAACAATGCATAAATAAGGTTGTATTATTTAACTCTTTTAATCATTTAAAATTCTTTTGTTTAATTAATTTCTTTAAAAAAAAAAAATTATAATATCTCTAAAATGATGATAATTAAAGAAAGTCGGTCAATATTCATAATGAATCTTTAAGAAAATAGGTGATGATATTGCTGGAGAATTGATTATTAACTCTTCTCCTTCCTTAACTCCAAGTTGAGGTAATTCTAATCCTAAATTTTTTTCTGTTTGTTCTTTTAATGGTCCTCGAGAAACAAAAATAATTTGTCCACTTTCTAATCCTATACTTGGGTTAGAAACTTGTAACTCAGGATCATCACTTATTTCATCAACAAGTTGTTGTAGTGTGAAAGTTGCTGGAATACTTTTGCTCATTGTTTGCATATCACAAACTAAACATCCTTTCTTCTTCTCCAAAGATTCAACAGAAGTGTTAATTCCATCTTTTCCATAATAAACTAAATAATTGTCAAGATTATTTGCACACCCAGTGGCATATTTAAATGCTTCATTTGCTGTTTGTGCGGCAATAAGTGAATTTGTAGAAGCAATAGCTGGCATAATATTTTTAATAACTCCTAATGTTAAACGATATGTAACTCCAGAAATGTTCTTTTCTTCTGCACGTTGTAAAGCGTGTTCATAAACCCATTGTACATGAGCTGGATTATCAGCATCAACTTTAGTTCCATGTGGAAATTCTGTATTAATTGTTGGATTTTCCCATGCTATTTGAGAAGCCCAAGCAATACAATGTTCTGGAAGTCTTGGTTGTGAAGCAATAGTACACATAGGGAATGTTTTCTGTGGTGGGAAGAGAGAGATAATACAATCTAAACATGGACCAACTTTAGGAACAATAACCATAACGTGTCCTTGGAACCCTTCTGTTCCACCATCAATCAATGGAATAATAGTGTTTGGGTTAATTTCCCCATTCTTTGTTTCTACTAATGAACATAATGTAGAGCTAGTCCATCTTCGTGCCCCTAAATTATCTAATCCACTAATCACTAATTTGAAGGATTTGTAAAATGACAATGGTTGATCTTCTAATCTCCCAACAACATGGGTAATCTTACAACCAGGTACTTTTTTCATTACAAACTCAGCTGCAACTTCAGATTTTGGTCTTCCAACATCTTTTTTTCTAAACAAGAATTGTCTATTTAAATTAGAATATTCAATTGTATCCATGTCTATAATTGTAAGGTTTTGAAATCCAACCATTGCTAATGCTTTTAATACTTCACATCCTAATCCTCCAGCACCAACAACAAGTATTTTAAAATCATGATAATTAACATTTCCTTCTTCTTCTGCGGTTCCTCCTGTTCTTTTTAAAAAGCTTTCAATTTGATGATATGATCTTGTCATTTGTTTTTCTATCTTAAAATATAAATATTTTTTTTAAGTTCTTTTTAACTTTTCATTATATTGAGGTTTATCTAAAACCTCAATATAATGAAAATAATGTAATATAAAACAAAATATGAAAATGACGTTGATAATTTTTTCAAAGTTGGTAAAAATAGAGAAATCTTTGAAAAAAGTAAAACCAAAAATGAAGTTTTCAGAAAAGCTATTTAAATAATAAGAAATATTAATCGAAACGAAAAGAATTTCTTTATGAAAGGTAATGAAAACTAAACAAAAATTAGAAAAGAAGATACGATTTTATGTTAGTTCTATTGGATGAGATGAAGATCTTTTTGATTTAAAAGATGAAGAAAACGTTTAGGGTATTTAAATAGAACTATTATTTATAATAAGTAGATAGAACAATATGCAAGAAATCATTGATCAATTTGCTATTGATAAAGAAAAATTAGAAATTATTGTTCAAAGAATGAGTGAAGAATTAACTAATGGACTTCAAGATAAACCAAGTACTCTTAAAATGCTTCCATCTTATGCCCCTATTCCTACTGGTAAAGAAGTTGGTACTTTTATGGGTATTGATGTTGGTGGAACTAATCTCAGAGTTTTATTATTAGAAATTCCTGAACCTGGTGTTCGTGGAGAACTTAAATCAGTTGAATGTATTATGCCAAAAACATCAACAACCATAGACCAATTCTTTGGATTTATTGCCCAAAAGATTAAAGAGTTTGTTGAAAATAACAATTTAAAAGAAAAAGAAATTAAAGCTGGATTGACATTTTCTTTTGCTGTTGAACAAATTGCTATAGATAAAGGAATTCAACAATCCTGGTCAAAAGGATGGGACATTAAAGAATCCATTGGTAAAGATATTGTTGAAATTTTCCATAACCAACTTGCAAAAGTTAATGTTAAAAATATTAGGATAGTCGCATTTATCAATGACACTGTAGGAACATTTGCTAATCTTGCATATGATGATGCATCATGTGGTATGGGACTTATTTTTGGTACAGGAACTAATGGATGTTATATTGAGAAAACATCTAACTTTGCATCTTCTAAATTAAAATCAGTATGTAAGGAAGATTATATGATTGTTAACACAGAATGGGGAGCATTAGATATTCCAGAACTTGGATATAACAGATTTGATAAGATGATTGATGATGTTAGTGTCAACAAAGGAGAACACTATTTTGAAAAGATGATTTCAGGTATTTACATGGGATGGTTAGCAAGATTAGCTATTAGAGAATTAATTGAGAAAAAGGTTATTTTTGAACGATATGCTAATGCTGATGTTTTTTCTAATTCACCAGATGATACTGACTGTGATCACTCAAAGAAATATACTTCAAGACATACTGGTATTGTTGAAGATACTACTCCTGAATTGATTCTTGTTGATGAAATGCTTAAATCACTTGGAGTTAATGACTCTACTTTAGAAGAAAGAAAGATCCTTAAGAATATAACTGAAGCAGTTGTTAAAAGAGCTGCCTATCTTGCAGCAGCAGCAACTGTATGTTTATATCGTAAAATGGTTCCATATATGAAAGAAAGAACTACTGCTGGAGTTGATGGTTCAGTCTTTGAGAAATCCGTTCCATTTAAGAAATTCTATCTTGAAGCACTTGACCTTTTACAACCTGTTGAAAAGGTTACTTGTCAGTTATCTAAAGATGGATCTGGACTTGGTGCTGTCATTGTTGCTGCTGCTGTTGCATGCAAACAATAAATTTAAATAAACACATTTAAAAATATAGTTAGATATTTTTTTTAACTGATAAAAAAGAATAACTACAGCCCTTTTGGAATAAATAGTGTTTTTGGTATTCCTTTTATGTGTGGGAGTTATTTTGATAGATATAGAATTAATTTAGAAAACCCTTTCAGATGCTTTTTTCTTTTAAAGGAAGTTATTCCAAGAGAACCTGACTGAATTTTAGAAGAAACTTACATTGACTTTTCTACTTTCAAATAAAAACATTTTTTTCCTTTCACATTTAAGAAAAATCTGAGACATTGATATCGTAATTATTTGTTAAACAAAGTAAGTTATGTCAGTTCATAATTATTTTTGAGGTGTAGGTAATTTAGTCTCATAAATACTTTCTCTGGTTTTTATCATTATCATTTTTATTAATTATTCATCTTAAACATGTCAACAAAATTAGTCCTCCATTTTTATAGAAACAAAAAGTCGTTTTAATTGTTATATACACTTGTAGTTAAAACCACTCTTAAGAAAAGAAATAATGGCTAGCCTTATTTTATTAATAAAAAATATAACAACACTTTATCTTTATTCTATAAACCTAGTGTTTATCCATCTATATGATAATTGGATTTGTTATTTGAAACCAACTGCTGGACCATTATTTATTATATAAACTGGATTTGTTATTAACCATTAATTTATTTTAAAACTTAACATTTCTTTTGTTTAAAACAAAGCATCTATTAAATCATATTGTAGTTATTGTTGAATATGTTATTTGTTGAATGTAAAGAAAAGGAATAAAAAATAAACATTCAAGAGGTAAGGAGAATGAATGAAATAGTAATAAAATGGTAAAAGAAATACAATGAAAAGTGAATAAAAAGAAAGAGATAAGAAATGATAAGAAATGAGTAAATGTCATGAAAATAAAGATAAAACAAATCAGAAATAGAATAATAACAAAGAATGAAATGAAATGAAGAAATAAGAAAATAAGTAAAGATGAAATATAGAAGAAAAGTATCTTCAATCTAAAATAAAATGAAAAGAAAGAAAATTAAGAATCAATTAAAAACAAAATAAAAGAAACAGATAATAAGAAATAAAATAAATATAATAATAAAAATAAAGAAATGTTATTTAAAACAATAAAATGAAATGATGTTTATTTAAATAAATAAAAATAAAATAACATTTATTAAAATAATAAATAAAGTGATGTTATAAATTTGTATTTAAGTATTTAATCTTCTTATTTTGATCTTATATTCTTAAATTAAAATAGAAGAAGTATGAGTGACCAATTAATTAAAGAAATAGTAGAAATAATTCAAAATATTCAACCAAGAATTGATGATATTAATAAACAATATCAATATTATTTAAGAAGTATTAAAAATGAAGTGTTTGAAATACAACCAGATGAAACATATTCAGAATTTATTAAAAGAGGAGAAGGAATAATTGGTAAGATTGATGAAATAGAAAGAAGAAGAAAACTAATAATAAAAAAAAGCCAAGAAACAAATAAATTAATAGAAATAATAAAGAATCAAATGAAGAAAATAATAGAAGAATGTAATAAAGATGAAGAAACACTAAGTAAAACAAAGAATAAACTAATAGACAAAATCATTTTAACTGAAGAAATGATCAAGAAAGATAAAATATTCAGAAAACCAAAAGAAAAAGATAAAATCACAGAATCATTTAACAAAAAGAAAGAAGAATGGAAAATACATTATAGTGATTATTTTGAGAGGAAGAAGAGAAAAGAAGAAGAAAAAGAAAAAGAGAGAAAAAAACAAGAAGAAGAAGGTAGATTACAAATAATGAGAGGAATATCAATACCAAAACACCAAATTAAACAACTAGAAGAATGGACATCAAGAAGAATATTCAATATACTATTTGATTCAGAGATTGACGATTGGGGTGTTTATACATCAGTATTTGGAGAAAGAATAATAAATAAAGAACATATAATAATTATTATTGAAGATTCAGATGGAAATAAATTTGGAGGATATATTAATGAGAAAATTGATAAAGTAAATAAAGATATAAATGATCCAAAATCATTTTTATTTTCATTAGAAACAAAAGGAAGAATACAAGGAATGATGAAATTTGATATTAAAGATCCTCAATATGCATTTTATTTATTTGATCAATCAAATGATTGTTTGTTTACATTTGGATGTGGAAATAGATGTAGAAATGATATTCGTGTTTATAAAGAAAATAATAAAACAGAATCATATTGTAAACAACATTCATATGAATATAAAGGAATATTAAGTGCACTTTGTGGAAAACAATATCCAGAATATTTCACACCACAACGAATTATTGTAATTGAAATGAAATGATTTTTATTCATTATTATTTATTTGAAATATAAAAACTAAAAAAGAATATAAAATAAAATCAATAAATAAATATGAACATTTCATCTATCAATAAATGAAATGATGAATATAAAAATGTTCATATTTTATTCTTGTTTTATTTTATTTTATTTGAAAGGGATTCGAAGGTAGCACGTCAGAGACACCACACAGAACCCTAAAATATTTCCATCCTTCGATTCCCACCAGTTATGGACTGGTTATGGCGTTGCGTTTGGTTAGAAAAACATCTTACCCGGTACTGCAAGAATAGCAGTGTTTATTATGTACAATGACAGAATATCATTGACAATAAACGAATGGGTATTTATAAAGATGTTATTATTACTTGTTATGATACAAGTATAATTGATAATATAAGAAAGATTATCAAAGGAAAAGGGTCAAGTGGTTGAGGCTAAAAGAATATTAGCCCATAGCAATACAGTTGTAATTATATATTCTCCTTAAAATAAGAAAATAAAGAAGAAGAAATTTAAACGCATCAAAATTAAAAAGAAATTAAATAATGAATATTTAAATAAGGGATGTTTAAAATACTCTATTCCATATCAAAAATGAGAAAAGAAAATTCTCACCGTTCAACAACTAAAAGCAAAGAATAAGCTAATAGTTGAAGAACAAATACATTTAAGCGAAGGGACGGGATTAGTTAATCTCCCCTGAGCAAGGAACAATAGAAGGTATTTCTATTAATACTTAATTATCTACTTTTTATTTTTATTTTATCTGAAATAATCATATTCATTATGTTAATTTAATAAATAATAAAAAGAATAAGAATAAAAGATAAATAAAAATATAATAAAATATTTATTTTATTCTTTTTTATTTATTTTTTATTTTATTTATATTATTTTATATTTATTTATTTTATTCTTCTTCTTTTATCTTTATATCTATTATATATTTCTTATTTTATTATTTATGTTATATTCTTATATCATTTTATTCTTATTTTGTATTTATTCATTATTATTCATTTCATATTAACATTGATAAATAACAATACAACATATAATAAATAAATGATATAAGATAAACAACAATAAATAATAATAATAATAATAATAACAATAATAAAATACAAACAAACAATATAAACAAATATAAAATAATAAAATATCATCTAATAAATAATAAATAATAAGAATAAAAATATCTTATTTTATTATTAATTCTTCTTTATATTCTCATATTTTATTATTTTATATATAATTTATGAATATTAATACAAGAAATCAAATATGAAATAATGTTATAATATAAAGAAATCATGATGATATTGAATGAATAAATAAATAAATAATATTAAAAATATTTGAAATTATAATAAAAGATCAAATATATATGTAATAAATAAAAAGAATAAAATTAATATATTATTTGTTATGATTATTGAAATAAATAACAATATTAATCGAGTATATTTGATGAAAATAAATATGAATAAAGAAATAAATAAATATGAATAAAGAAATAAAGAATAAAGAAAATAAGAGATGATAAAATGAATTAATAATCTCTATAAAATGATATTAAATAAAGAAATCATT